AGCTGGTCAAACCATGCTGCCTTGTGAAAGCAGAAGGAAAGGGAAATACAGCAGTGTCTGCAGTGCACAGGTAACTCTGTGCAGGAATGATATTTCCTGCAAGGTACTGGGCGGGTGCCATGGCCTCCCCAGGGACGTTGTCATTGTCAGCATGGTGCCACAGCTCAAGATATCTCTGATTGAGATTAAATTCATCATTTCAAATCATTGCTATTGTTATTCCACCCCGTCTTCATTCCTCTCTTTTGCTTCTTTCTCAATCAGTAAAGGAGGACCCCAAATCTCCACTTTCCTGGTTGTTTTTCACATTAGAATTGTAGGTGGTTTGTTCCCAGGTTTTCCCAGGCAGCTCTGTGGAGGGTCAGAGGACTGGGAAAAGTGGTGTGCAATTGGGTTACCAGGAGAATAAAACCAGGACAGCTGGGCAAAGACAAATCAGTCAGTCCGGAGGGTTAAATCACTAGCTTTTCTTATCCAGTCTGTGGGGAAGAGGCGGGGGGGGTCTCTCCCCTGCTCTCCAGAGCCATGTCCCAGCTGCAGGAGGTCAGAGACAGCAAAGGCTCCTTGGCCAACTGGCTGCTCTTTTCCTAACCTGCAAGGATCAAGCCCAGGATTTCAGAAGCAGAAACGAACAGAAAAGGGAGATTGGAGGGGAGGTAAAAGGTAGAAAAGGGAAGGAGAAACCTCCTGGATGTCTGTTATCTGCTGTTACAGGGAGGTGAGTTGGGAACCACTGCGAGTGCCCCTGCTCCCGTCCTGCCTCGCGGGATGCTCGGCGCTTGGCTGATGTCACAGCGCACACACGCAGGCACACACCCACACGCACCCGCGTCAGCGCGATGATGGGAAGGAGGCTTTCAGAAGCCAACAAGATGAACAATTATCACTTCCGTGCAAAGCAACAAGACCCACTTCTCCACTCCCCAGTCATGTCCTGGCAATCTAATAAAAAGGGAGATTAGCCCCTCTTTCCTCTCTTACATCTCCTTAATGCTGTCATTTTATTCACACTTTGCAAAGCAAATAAACCAGCAAATTGCTTGCTTTAATGAGCTGAAATTAAACTCAGACTGCTGATAAAATGCCTTTTCTCCTTTGTGTTGTTGGGAAGGACTCGTCTGATAGGCAATGTACAGGAAAGAAGAGAAAACACACAGCAGGAGCCTTATTGAATGTGTTTAAGTCATTTACCATTGCTCTTCTTCACCCCCGACACCTCCAGTTAGATGAGGGCGGCACACAGGTAATGAGAAGGCTATAGTGGATCAGCCTGACAAGGTCCGTGGAGGGTCTGTCTCTGCTATTTGCTCATGGGATGGTCCTGCTCCACTAGCTAATGCCCTGTGACACAGGCTGAAGCCCACAGCCTCCCCAGGGAGGAGTGACAAGAAACCTCCCCCTGCAAGAAAAAAGCTGATTTGGCTCTGCAGAGCAATCCCAAACACAGGCTTTCCCAGAGAGGATGGCTGGGTCAAAATGGGAGTTAGAGGAGACAGAATAAGTGCTTGCTAAAGAGAATATGCCAGGACGCATCACTCCCTGCTGCCTGTGCTGTCTCAAATTTGGCAGGGCTTCCCCTGCCTGCAGGAGGTCCCTGTAATGTACAAGCCCATGGAGGAGGGCAGGGAGATCCTTATACCAAGGGCAAGCACTGCAGGGCAGCAGGCAAGGAAAGCACCCTCCATACCATCCCAATGGGACAACTGGGCAACCCATTGCTGACGGCTCTGCAGGCCAGGACAACCCACCGCTGCCCTTCTCCCACACCCTTAGGGACAACATGCACCCCTGTTGGGAGGCAAGCTGAGGAGCTGGAGACCAGGCTGGTCCCTGTGGCAGAGAAAAGCGGCACATCTAGAGCCCAGCTTGCAAGTAGACGGAGTGAAATTCTCTATCTGCAGCACAACATATCTGCTGGGATTTTCATCTCAACAAGAGGAGCTCGGGGCACTTTCCTTCAGTCTCCCACAGCCCCATGAAGCACTATCATCATTTCATAGTACCGGAGAGGAGACTGGAGTGCAGAGAGGTTAACTGAGTTGCCCGGTGCTGGGAGGGATGTAGCAGCAGATGGCTCTCAGCTTGGCACTGCAGCCTGTACTTCCCCGTCAGCTGGGGACGATAAGGCAGGGCACTCACCTGCAGTACCCCAGGGAGCACAGTCCCTCTCCTTGCTGGCTTCGACGACTCAGCTACGCCAAAATGGGCTGCCAGGTCCTGGCAAAGCATCCCAGGGAAGGGACAGCACAACCTTGCAAATGTGCTCCTGCCCGTGCCGCAGGTACTATTCCCCAAAATGGGGTTACCCGCAATATCAGTATCACTGTGGTGATGTAAGGCCTTCAGCTGGAATAGCAATGTAAAAGCATGCTAAAGTCCAGGTTTCTAACCCCAGGAAGGAGGAGACCTGAGATTCGGCTGCCTTGCCCTCAGCATCTCCTCCACCCAGACCTCCATTTCTAGTAAATTTTTGAAAAATCTGGTGCTGTTGAGCTTTCTTCCAAATGTAGCTGGGATAGGACAGCACCAGGCACGGGGGAGGCAGAGACCTGCAAGTACCCAGGCAGGGCCCCATAGAAGCATCATCTTAGGGCCAGTACTTCTCACCCACACGTGCCTGCACACCCACTGCAGACAGTACAGTCGGCAAGATGGGTGAACCGCACACCCTGCCCTTGGTGGGGGCATTGGGTGTCTGGCTGTTGGTTTCCCCTGCAGCCTCACCCCCCCTAGCAGCTGGTGGGGCATCTGCTGGAGGACAAGATGGCTGGAGCATCTCATATGCAGAGAGCTGACGCAAGAGCAGATCTTGTTATTCATGTAATGGAAAACCAACTGTGCCACCAGGGAATAGACTCATTGTTCACAATCCAGAAAGAACAAATAAACTGTTTTACTGCTTATTCTTACTGGCCTGTTTACCGAGGTATAAACTGTGAATGGTTAACAGGGATCTCTGCAGTGAAACATGGTCTCCTTCATTCTCTGGTATCACAGGTGGAAAAGAACTTGGTTTCTTCAGGACAAGGACGAGGGTTTGGCATCTGCCTCTAAATGCCCCTTGACAATCAGCCTCACGTGATTTTCAGGCATGCAGCTCCCAGCACAGTCCCTTCACTGCCTGGGCACTGGGAAATGGTTTGGAAACCAATTTCTGGATTTATACTATTTTGCAGATCCAATGAAAGACAATTTAGATGTAGGATGTACTCCTGTCTCCTTCATGGATGCCCAAGAAACCTCCAGTTCCTACCAGCTGTGTTTTCAAGGAGTGCTGGTGGTGTCTTCCCTGCTTCCTATGGTCTGCCCTGGGACAAGGGAGACAACCAGAGCCCCCGTTCCCAACAAAAGTCCCAAGAAGGATTTTTCTAGGTAGGCCATGATGTTTACTCCCTATTTGTGGGCAACTCCATCTCTGCCACAACACCTCACTGCCTCTATCCTACCAGCCCAGAGAGCTGTTTGGCAGTAGAGATGTCCATGAATGATATTTTCAACATCTTGTGGAAGAGCATGACCCAGGAGATGCTGATGCTCATGCAATTGCCTCCTCTCCACTTTTGCCTTTCCTCCCTGTTTCTGTAAGAAATTACAAAAGGAAGTAGAAGTGCTGCCCATGGATATTTATGTTTAGTCAAAAATGCAGGAAAAAATAATGGAAAATGTGAGCCAGGAATGAGTTTTTCTGTGGGAAGTGAGGCTGCTGGCAGCCCCATAGGTTTCTTTCCCCATTGGTTTGTGTCTAGTGAATACCTTCTGAAGGTCTTCAAACGGCTGTTTCTGGCTGAGGAGGGAAGGTCTTATCCCATCTTCTGCAAATACTCTTGTTATGCCACTGAATGGTTGAGGGTCCTCCCCACCTCTGCATCATTTCACCCGGGAAGGAGAGAGAGATCTTGGAGACAGGCGGCAAGCCTCAACCACAGACAAGGACATCGGATGATGGACAATCACGCTAGCATGTTTTGTAGTCAAAGAGTGCCCTGAAAGTACTGCTCAGGTTCCCAGAAACAGGATAGGCACTCGATGCTGGGCTTTATCCCAGATGCTAAGCAGCAACGCAGTCAGAGAGAGACAGTGTCCTCAGTCAGCATCCCCCTCTGTGGGCATTGCTGCTGCGTGCACCAGCACGCGAGACAGTTAGGATTCCCCTCAGCAAAATGCTGCAGCATCAAATCTACATCAGAGCGAGTTGTCTAGACTTCATCTGCTCTCAGTGGAGAGGAACAGACACTTCTGGGGCATCACTCCTCTCCTCCTAAGGTAGACACCTAAATAGGTCAGACAAACGGTGCCCTGGATGTGCGTTGGTCTCTCCGCTGCCTATAACATGATGCTGGACAACGCACTCAAAGGAGGGTGATCTCCATGGTCAGTGACCACCTTCTCTTGTGCTGCTAAATGCCACTGGCGGCAGCGCCCAAATAAATGAAAGGCTCCTTGAAAGGTGGTAGCCAGAGTTAGAAGGCAAGTGCCTAACATTAAGAGGGTAGCTGGATGCCTTTCCAACACCTCTAAACACTGTCTTTCCTTTGTGTTTAGTTTGTGCTTGTGTTTTGTTTTGAGCAGGTGAGCCGAGGGACCGAGTGGGGACAGCCAGACCCACGGAGGCACATGGAGATGGGGACCAGTGTCGCGATGGGCAGCAAAAAGAAAACGAGATGTACTGTAAAAAGTGAGAGGAAGGCTTGTCTCTAAGCCAGAGGGACGACTCCACACGGGCACCTAACTTCATGACTCCCTCCCCGAGATGCCAGAGACCTGGTGATGCGGGACCAGCCTCAGCCACCCAGGCCTTGGTAGTAGCCCCTGGCCGGTGGCTGCCGAGTACTGTGGGCACCGAGGTCCACTTTCTCCACGGATGCTTCCCCCCCGTCTCCAAGCCATGAGGAGAAGGGAGAGGCGAGCGAAGCTGCCGAAGAAGCACTAGCCCACATCTTCCTGGCCCCCATCCCGCTCCCCACTTCTGGCAGACCAGGAACCCCTTCTCTGCACCGCCCTTCCAGATGGCAGGTCGCCGGTGGGCCGCGACGTCAGCCCTCTGCGTGTGCGTAGCCGCCGTCTCTCTCCTGCACACCAGCGGGGTGCGGGCAGACTGCTGGCTCATTGAGGGGGACAAGGGCTTCGTCTGGTTGGCCATCTGCAGCCAAAACCAGCCCCCCTACGAGTCCATCCCCCAGCAAATCAACAGCACCATTGTGGACTTGCGGCTGAACGACAACAAGATCAAGAGCGTGCAGTACGCCTCACTCAGCCGCTTTGGCAACCTGACATACCTCAACCTGACGAAGAACGAGATCTCCTACATCGAGGATGGTGCCTTTTCAGGACAGTTCAACCTCCAGGTGCTGCAGCTGGGTTACAACCGACTGAGGAACCTCACCGAGGGCATCCTCCGGGGCCTGGGGAAGCTGGAGTACCTCTATCTCCAGGCCAACCTCATCGAGTCCGTCACCCCCAATGCCTTCTGGGAGTGCCCCAACATAGTGAACATTGACCTGTCCATGAACAGGATCCAGAGACTCGACAGCAACACTTTTCGGGGCCTAAACAAGCTCTCTGTCTGTGAACTCTACAGTAACCCCTTCTACTGCTCCTGTGAGCTCCTCGGTTTCCTGCAATGGCTGGAGGCTTTCACCAACATGACACGCACGTATGACCGGATGCAGTGCGACTCCCCACCTGACTACACGGGCTACTACTTGTTAGGCCAAGGCCGGACTGGCTACCGCAATGCTCTGAGCATGCTCTCTTCCCTTTGCACCGGTGGCTCCTACACTGTGATCCCTCGTTTTATCCCTCCCAGGTACCAGATGACCACGGCGCCCTCTGAAAGCCCCTGCTCAGAGGAGGAGTGCTCCTCCGGTGATGGCACGACCCCGCAGTTCTCCCTCTTCACACCCATTGGCGAGACGGAGGTGCGCCCCAACATCCAGGTGAAGCACCTCAACCACAACTCGGCTGTCCTCACCGTGCAGATCCCCTACCCCTTCAGCAAGATGTACATCCTCTCCCAGTTTGAAAACGGCTTCTCCTCCATGATCACCAAGCTCAGGAAGAAGGAGGAGAACATCACCGTGAGCAACCTAGTAGCACAAAGAGATTACACCTACTGTGTAGTCTCTGTCCACCAATACTCCAAGTACAACCACACCTGCGTCACCATCACACCCACCAGACCCAACCGCAAGGAGCCAGTGCCCACCCCTTCTACTGCCACTCATTATATCATGACAATCTTGGGCTGTCTCTTTGGAATGGTGATTGTCCTGGGTGTTGTGTATTACTGTCTCCGGAAGAGGCGCCAGCAGGAGGAGAAGCACAAAAAGGCTGCCGGCAGCATGAAGAAGACCATCATCGAGCTGAAATATGGGCCAGAAATGGAGACCACCAGCATCACCCAGCTGTCCCAGGGACAGATGCTGGGCGGGGAGACAGTGACCCGCATCCCCTACCTGCCTTCTGCTGGCGAGGTTGAGCAGTACAAGCTGATTGACAGCAGTGAAACCCCCAAGGCCACCAAGGGCAACTACATGGAGGTGAGGACGGGTGAGCAGCCCGAGAGGCGAGACTGCGAGCTGTCCCTGCCGCCGGACACCCAGAGCTCTGTGGCTGAGATCTCCACCATTGCGAAGGAGGTGGACAAGGTGAACCAGATCATCAACAACTGCATCGATGCCTTGAAATCTGAGTCCACCTCCTTCCAAGGAGTAAAATCGGGGGCAGTCTCCACGGTGGAGCCTCAGCTGGTGCTCTTATCAGAGCAGATCCCCAGCAAGCACGGATTCCTCTCCCCTGTCTACAAGGAAAGCTACAACCACCCTCTCCAGCGACACCACAGCATGGAGGCGGCCCCCAAACGCTCCAGCACCTCTTCCAGTGGCTCCATACGGAGCCCCAGGTCCTACCGCTCTGAGGGATCGGGCCACAAATCAGAAGCCAAATACATCGAGAAGACGTCCCCCACCACTGACACCATCCTCACTGTGACACCGGCTGCGGCCATCCTGCGGGCTGAGGCGGAGAAGATCCGTCAGTACAGCGAACACCGGCACTCGTACCCTGGCTCACACCAAGGGGAGCAGCACGACAGCATGGCGGGGCGAAAGCCCTCCATTCTGGAGCCTCTGACCCGTCCTCGCCCCAGAGACCTGGCCTATTCCCAGCTCTCGCCTCAATATCACAACCTGAGCTACACCTCCAGCCCAGAGTACACCTGCAAACCATCGCACAGCATCTGGGAGCGCTTCAAACTCAATCGCAAGCGGCACAAAGACGAGGAGGAGTATATGGCAGCCGGCCATGCCCTACGCAAAAAGGTCCAGTTTGCCAAAGACGAGGATCTTCACGACATCTTAGACTACTGGAAGGGCGTCTCTGCCCAGCAAAAGTCCTGAGTCCTCACACAACTCGTGACTTAACACACTAACTGGACCAAAAGAAATCTGCAGCAGCTATTTTTATTCAGACTGTCTTTGAAACAAAATAAAATTAAAAAAAAAAGAATCAATAAAAATAAAAGAGAGAACAAAATATGAAAAATCTATAAATATTCTATATAATATATAAAGTGAGATATTAAAATGTCCTCACATTGGTGAGACACGCACCAAATTTGAACACAAACTTTACAAAACAAACAAACTGTGGAGTGAAAAAAAAAAAGTTTTGTTTCATTTTGATTTTTTTAAAAAAATAAGAAAAAAGAAAAAATTGGATATAAAAAGAAAGTGAAAGAGCGGGCAGAGAGCTGAGGTCTGGCGTTTCCCAATATTGCATTGCATGAGTCCCTATTCCGTAATTTTGTGGATTCTTTGTGAACAGTTTGTGTTCTTCCTTCCTTCCCTTCCAAAATCAACAGCAACAAAAACAGCAACAAAAACCAAAAAGAGACCAGAAGGAGATCCATCCTTTGGGCTGTTTTTGCAAACGGAGTCTTCCAGTTTAGACTTTTACCCGGTTGAAGGCCCGTTCACATTTTCACTCACTGAGAAGTTTTACCACACATTGCATTGTAAACCGAAGTCGTTAATTGTACAGAGAAAATTTCTATATTTGCAATGTTTGCTGTATAATGAGAAAGAGAGAGGAGAAAAAAAAAAACAATACTACATCTACTAAAAATATATATATATATATATCTATATTCACCTGTTTGTACCAGGTTTTAATCATGGATTTTAGAGAAAGACATGGAGTTTGGTTTGAAGAACTTTTTTGTTGGTTGGTTGGTGGGTGGGTGGGTGGTTGACGGGATATTTTTTGGAGGCAGGGGGAGTGTTTGGGTTTCTAAGTATTTGGTTTTGATTTCTCCCAACAATTGTCTGTGTCCAAGTTCTCATCAACTTCAAAGTACATTGAGAAAAAAGGCACGTACCCTGAAAAGCAGAATCTCCCACCTTTTTCCAGATGGGAGACCACCACCACCAGGAACAGGGAAGGGGATGAGAACTGAAGGGCTCCTGGTTGAGCAGGTGCCACCATGCAATGGGATTTCTCCTGCAGATTAAAAGGTATTGGTCTCTCCCCCTAAACAGACGTATCTGGAGAGTGGTAGCCCTTGGGGCCAGCCGCTGAGGGGTGGGTTATCCCCTTACCTTTCAAGATGGGGAGCCAGCGATGAGTTAGAGCAGAAAGCCTTTTGCCGCTCTCCAGAGAAGGGCATCATTGAGGGGTGATTTTTGCTGAGGGAGAAGACACTAAGCATTTACAGCTTGCCCATACCGAGAGCTATTACAATAGGCACAGGCCCTGGCCCAGGGATCCTGCCCCTCACTCCTGGGCCTCCCACCACTGCACGTCTGGCAGCTCCCCCATGGATAACCCCAAACACGGCCGCAGCCTCAGGCAGGGAGTGCAGCACCTCCTGCCTTCAGCCCTAGCGCTGCCATGGGCCAGTTTGACTCCCATTTCGCATGAGTGGCTTTGGAGATGGACACCCTGGGGAGCCCCTGAACAGCCCTTGGGACTCTGAGACTGGAAGGGAAGGGGATGGCCCTGTGTTCATGTCTCGTGTCCACCCAAGCAGCCGGCATGTGCCCCTCAACCATTGCTCTCCAATGCCTGTCCAAGACTCAATAGCTTTTTGCCCCGTCTCTAAAACACTCACAGATGATGCCCTACTCATGGGGTGAGGAGGAGGAGGGAGGTGTTGAGACCATGAAGGCAGTCCCAGGCCATGCTGGTGGCTGAAGGACAGTTTTGCCCTGATTAGCTCCAGCTGAGTCGCAAGCCCCCACGTCTCACCCCATGACTGACACGAAGCAAGGGCCACACAAAGGTCAGGGAGCTGCTCTGCTCCCCCAGTGAGTGTGTGGGAGCCCAGCGGGCCAGAACAGCGAGGCGATAAGATCCCCAAATGCAGCCCTTTGGGGCCCTGCTGCTTGCCAGTTTTTCCCTTGCATCCTGCTCACAAGTCTCTTTGGATGGACATCCTGAGTCCTGACGGATGAGCACTAGGGCCCAGGAGCAAACCATATCCCATCCTGTTATTTCAATATTTAAAAGCGATTTTGACAGGTATTCTTGCAAAAGGTTATGTTTGTTCAGAAAGAAGCTGAGCCAGGAAGACACAGAGCAGGCTGGGAATTGCATGAGTTCGTTCCCCATGGTTATTTGTGTAGACAACAAACCATTAGCAGGGTTTCATAACAAAAGGCAGGCAATTTCCCCAGGAACATATTCACTCTGCATGAGCAAAGGCACATTCCTCCACCTCCTCCAGGTGCCCCAGATCCTGCCCGCAGCACACAGCTTCCCGGGGCTGCGTCTTGCTCACCAGTCAGTGAGCAGGACCTGGAAAGGGGAGCTGAGGATCACCCCTTTCCTGTTTCATGACATCACAGCGGGTCCCTCCCCAAATCTCAGCTGTAGCACCTGGACCAAAGCAAACCCTTCAGCCGAAACCACCTTCCCTTGCAAACCCTGAGTGCCTCCTGGAGAAACAGGAGTTGGTCAGCAAGGATGGATAGGGGAAACGGTAGCGAGGCCTCCTGGCACTGTTTCATGGTCCCAGGGGATTCCTCAGCAAGAGGCTGAGATGGTCAAAGGTGGTGGCAGTTCATGAGTTAATTTGGACTCAGATGCTCCAGCGATGGCAGTCACTGATAGGTACCGAAAGACCTTCCTCCGTCACTCCCCCCACTGAGACCAGTTCCCACACCAGTTTGGAAATGACATCAGGACCATCTCCACGGCAGCCACGAGCACACCAGCAGAGCATAACGCCTCGCTGTGGAGGCAGCGGCACGTCAGCAGCGAGTTCATCTCTTTACCTGGGGCGAGTCATTTTGCTCCTCTCCGCCTCTGTTTCCTCCTCTACGAAATGCTTCCTTGTGGCATTGAGGGCATAGGCTGGTTGGGGAGGCTCAATTAATTAATTGCCTGTCTGTGAAGCCCGTTTAGCTCCTAGAATAAAAGCCGCTATAGAAATGCAAAGTTGTTAGTGGCATAAAACAGCAGGGGCAGATGAAATCAAAGCTTGATTCTGTTTTCACACCAGGATTTCACTGGTCATAAACCAACAGAGACCAACACAGGAAATGTGATACAGCAGCGCTGGTCTTTCTAAATTAAACACTTCCTAGATGCAAACTCTCTGCAGTTGGAGAAAAGGAGGGTTAGAAAGGATCTAGGCGCCTCCATCTCCAAGGTATCTCCAAGGGAGGTGCCTGCACACGCAGCACCCCATACCGTAGTCGGTGGGGCCTTGCTGTGGGTCTCAGAGAGCTCCAGGTGGCTCCTTGGGTGACGATGCAATGGCCATGCTGCTGAGCACCCTCCAGCCTCCTTGCCCTCCCTCCAAGATAGGGTGCAGTCCTGGCAGCCAGGCAAGAAAAGGGAAGAAGTCCCACTGTCCCCAAAGCCACCGCCCCATGCATGGACCTCCTGGGGTGCCTCTGCACAGGGCCTGGTGAGCTCTGTCCACGGCATCCTTCATCCCCCTGAGGCAGCTGCTTTACAGACCCCTCCAAGGGCAGAGGGAGCATTTCACCACCTGAGACCTGTTGGGTGCTTTTCTTCTTTATTTTGTCTCCTGTTCAACCACCAAAGCTCTCAAGCTGCTTCTGCAAAGAGAAATGATACCTTGTCCAGCCAGGCTGTTCCTATTGCCCCAAACCCATCCGAAGCAAGAGGGCTCCCTGCCAAGCAGAAGGGAGGAGGCATGGGAAAGAGATGTCCGAGTGAGGAGGAGAGGCCAGGGGAAAGGTTTCTCCTTTGTTTTGCCCCACCTCAAGGGGCAATGGGGACCAGTGAACTGGGAGCCAACACAGAAAGCCACCACCAGCGCTGAGGACCCGGAGGTTCCCATATCCCCCTCCTGCAGCAGCCTGGGCTCTGCCACTGGAGAGCGTGAACAAAGGGAAGGGAAAAGAAAGGGAGGGAGAGGGATGAAAGGCAGGGAGAGGCGTGTGATGCAGAGGCAGGGGAAGGCAGAGGCGGTGGGAGCAGCTGTGCCTGGCACGGGACAGGCAGCAGCCCCCGGAGAGGCCAGCGAAGGCATCGAGCAAAGCTGCTCCAAGAGATTTTTTTTTTTAAGAGAGAGCAGTTGTTTCCCTGAGGCGATGAAACAGAGAAAAGGAGCAGAGGGACCCATTGCTGCTTCTTCCCCCAGCATCTCAGCAACACCTTCTTGTTGGAGCGTAAATCAGAGCCCACATTACCCACAGCTCAATCCTTGCTCTGGCTAAGAGTCAGCAAAGGACCCTGTCACGTGTTGCAAAGCCTGTGTGACATCTAGAGCCTGAATATTTTTTAAAAGCCTGTAAATTAGGACAGAAACCTCTCTCTATACAGACATGTGCCATTTAAGCTGAGCATTCCTGCGGGCAGCCACCTGCCCCGGTGTCCATGCGTTTCAAAACGTGGCCTGAGAGAGCAGGTTTCCCTGAGGCGATGAAACAGAGAAAAGGAGCAGAGGGACCCATTGCTGCTTCTTCCCCCAGCATCTCAGCAACACCTTCTTGTTGGAGCGTAAATCAGAGCCCACATTACCCACAGCTCAATCCTTGCTCTGGCTAAGAGTCAGCAAAGGACCCTGTCACGTGTTGCAAAGCCTGTGTGACATCTAGAGCCTGAATATTTTTTAAAAGCCTGTAAATTAGGACAGAAACCTCTCTCTATACAGACATGTGCCATTTAAGCTGAGCATTCCTGCGGGCAGCCACCTGCCCCGGTGTCCATGCGTTTCAAAACGTGGCCTGTGGGAAGAGCAATGTCCACACATAGAAACGTGGGGTGACAAAGGGTGGCAGTGGTGGCAGGTGCTGCCTGGCCAGATTCCTCTCTGAGGCAGCAGAGCACCTGAGAGGGGACGTGGCAGCCCTGGAGCTGGTGGCTGCCGCCTTCTTCACAGCTGATGCGTGTTGGAGGTGTCATGCCTGCCCCCAATCCAGCATTTGAGCCTCCTGGGGGCTTCAGCTGGATCTGCCGTGAGAGCGGGTGCAAATCGCATGGGAGGGCATCCATGAGGATGCATGGGAGCCCTAAGAGAGGGAGGTGCTCCCTGGTCACCACCCAGACCATGACAACAGCCAGACTGTGCTGGCTGTGCTCAAATCAAGCCGGTGACCTGTGGTGCCTGCTGGGCAGTGGGACCTTTCCCAGGGCTGTAAGTGCCACTGGAGCCATCTCTCCTCCAGCCCCATTGAGGCTTATGGGTCAGCCCATGCATCCACACCTGGGTGATACCCAAGGCCACCAGAGAGCCAGTGGCAGAGCAGGGTCCTGGGCACAAGCTCCAGCAGCCCAGCCAGCTCCCGCACCTGCACGCTCCCTCACTCCCAGCGACCCCAGCTAACCCCCCTCCAAATGCTCCCCTCTTCCCCGCTTCTAGATCAGCCCTTCCCTGAATCGGGGCTGGGTCTTGGCAAACCAAAAGCTCTGTTGCCCGAGACCCCCAAACTCATCACCATGGTGGATGTGGCTCTGCAGAAATCAGGAGCTGCAGCATAAACCCCCCGGTCACGTGCTTGCTGCAGCCTGGCTGCCTGTCACGCTCCGGAGCAATAAACCACCTTGTTTGCAGGAGAGGGTGGTTAGCAAGGGTGGGGGACAGTGCGGTGGAGGTGGCCCGAACACACAAATCCTTTGGGCGAGGAGGGGCCCGGGGGAGACTGGGGGCTGCGGAGGGGTGCGCTGCGGCGCTGCT